TTCAAGTATTTTTTAAAAAGTAAATAATATAAGCTGTATATATTAATATTAATAATTATTTATTAGTTTATTTTATTAGAAATATAAAATTCTGGAAACAGTATTGCGCACATAAATATTTACCAAGGCAATAAATCATTACTATTTGGCATAATTTTTTGAAATATTATCTATTTATATTAGATATTCAGCAAGCATTTATAATTTGTATAAATTATAGTACAGTACAGTAGTAGTATGTTATCGATAGTAAACTATTCATTATCAGTTGAATTTAAATTACATTTTTAAAGTTAACAAGTCTAATTTATGCTAGAAAAATGTACATATTATTTATCAAACAGGTAAATGGCATTTGGGTTTCGCAAGCCGTGAGTACACCCCAACATACCGGGGCTTTGACTCGCACTGGGGGTATTGGACCGCCAGGGAAAGTTACTTTGAACACATTAATTGCGACCGGGATAACTGCGGTCTGGACTTCCGGCATAACATGGATGTCATCANTTTATCAAACAGGTAAATGGCATTTGGGTTTCGCAAGCCGTGAGTACACCCCAACATACCGGGGCTTTGACTCGCACTGGGGGTATTGGACCGCCAGGGAAAGTTACTTTGAACACATTAATTGCGACCGGGATAACTGCGGTCTGGACTTCCGGCATAACATGGATGTCATCACAAACGCGTCGGGAGTTTATTCAACACATTATTTCACCGACAGATGCCTTCATATCATCGGTTGGTCTCTTAAATTAAATTTAATACAACTTTGAAACTAATAATTATTTTTCAGATCAACACAACATATCTGAGCCCCTATTCCTGTACGTTCCCCACCAGTCCGTCCACTCGTCGGGCACTAACTTTACGCTGGAGGCGCCCGAGGAGTACATCGATATGTTTGCGTACATTGAGTCCGATATACGCCGACTATTGGCGGCCGTTGTCTACGCTATGGACGAGTCTATAGGCGCTGTTGTGGAGGCACTGCATACGAAACAAATGCTGGGAAACAGTATTATTTTATTTATGAGCGATAACGGAGGCTTTCATCATCTATTTGGTAATTTGTAACCCTTTAATAATTAATGCGAAGTTATCATGGTATCTTTTTAGGTAATGGGGGTTCAAATTGGCCTTTAAGAGGTGGCAAATTTGAGTTATTTGAGGGAGGTACAGTACACACACTTGTCTATTCTAGCATAAATACAATACTTGTAGTTATATTACTAGGTTTAAGTTGATAAATTATGCACATTTTAAATAATAAGCATTTTAAAAAATACAATATCAATAATTATAATTATAAATTACACAATTATCATAATTATTAAACTAAGGTATCAGGGTCCCTGCATTCATATGGAGTCCATTGTTGAACAAAAGTGGTTACGTGTCGGACGCCCTAATTCACGTGACAGACCTCTTGCCCACCGTTTTAGATGCAATCAATGGCACCGGGATGTTGTCCGATCACAATGTGCCCATATATGGTATTGGGTAAAAAAGTTTGTTAACATACAATTGCACTAAAAATCATCTAATCCCAAGGTAAATCTCAATGGCATACTCTGTCTAACAATGACATCCCGGTGCGATCGGAGCTCATCCACAACGTGGACCCCATTTGGAATATATCTGCCATTCGGTGGTACGACTGGAAACTCATCCAAAACTTTACGGCTTATGTAGAAAACCATATCGTGACGGATCTCCTCACTGCTGGTCCACCACTCGGCTCCTATAGCCCGCCGTTCAACGCAAACAACGAGTCCTTCCAATCGCTACAGACTATGGATCGCGTGAATAGTAAGTCATATCACGTGTTGACACAAATGAATAGACGACCCGATTATGAGGTGCTGAAGGGGTCGGTGGTTGAGTGCGGACCTACACCCCCGCAGACCTTACCCTATGAGTGCACAGACACCCAGTTGTGTTTGTTTAACATACGGCACGACCCGTGCGAATACCATAACCTAATCGGGGAAACGGATCCACAATTCGTGCGATTCTTGTGGCAAAAAATGGTTGACTTTAACGAGACGTCTGTACCGCCGCTAACACTCGTACCGGGGGATGATAGGGCTAAACCTGCGCTACATAACAACACGTGGACTAATTGGCTGGACTCAGATGGGGACAGTTATGTGATCGATAGGAGTGAATTATAATCTATATAAGTTAATCACTTTTAATCTCAATTTACAGTATTATTTATGTCACATGGAATTAATTTAATTATTTTATTATATGATAACCATATTGTGATAAATTATACTGATACTGTAGTTAATAGAAAATAAATTGTTTTTACATTATAACTTGTAGATAACCCGGTTCATTAATCATTTAATTTTAATCGCTATTCCTATTCGATCATTTGCTTAAATATTTAAGTCTTGAAATGTATGACACAAAGACTACCTGTTTGTGTGAATTCAATCAATTAATATGCAATAAAATTGTCGGCAATAGTATTAATACATACTTTGAAGTACTGGCCGGGGATTCAGTGTTGCCAACCAATTGTCGTATACTTTCCATCGTTTTCATCGCCTCTTCCTTCTCACCACTCATTAAATGGTTTGTCTTTTGGCTCTCTTTCAAGATTTGTGTCAATATATCTGTCATTGCCTTCATTTCATTGGGCGCTCCCTTCCCATTAGCCTGTCCTCCTCTGAACCACTGTTTTATACAATACATAAACATTAATACATTTTAAATTTTATAAATATATCTCTAGTTTTGAAAACTACTTACATATGCCTATAATTATGCTAAACTAGATAACATATTAAACTAGGTCTGTTTAGTTAGGCATAAATTATCCGGCAACAAATCATTGACACATACCTTACGGCCAAACCATTGAACTTCTCTCTCAACACATTTGTCTCGCCAACGATCCGATCATCGGATGCCTTCAATGTCCGCAACTCTACCTCCAAATCAGTCAACCCTTTCGACAGACTCTCAATTGTATCACTTTTCGGCACTTTTCCACTCATTATAATAAACTCATCCATCGGTCCGATCGCCGTAAGCATAAGCATGTCGTTGACCCCATCAATGGGGTACATGCGATGTACGTACAAATGTCGGACATGGAGTTTTGGGAATGGCTTTTGCTTAAGAATCTATTACAAGATACCGGTGCGCTTGGATTCACTATAGGAGGGTTCGCTAAACTCAACAAATCTACACTTATTTCGGTTAATAGTTTTTATATATAATAGCATAACTATATTTATTATTTTTACCTTACTTATTTTATATTCCAACAGGTGTTTGCATTTGTGTTGTATTATACGGTGATATTATTTCAGACAACAAAATGATTACGTACTGTATATCTGATCTTTTAAAATAAAACCCGAATTATATATAGGCTATGAATTGAAAGATTTTTCATTGGTTTCAATGAAAAATCTTCCAATTCATATACTATATATAATCCGGGTGTTATTTTGAAAGATCAGATATATTAAATAATATGGCAACTGGATTAGCTTTATTAAAGTACAATAATTAGGTTTCATTATATGGTTCATTATAACAAAAATATTTAATTATTAAAAAGTTGTTACAATCATGACATAATTGTATTGTATAAGTATGTAGACCATTAATATAAAAAACTTTATTTTATTACACCATCATTAGTATATATTAAATGTACATATTATAACTAAATAAAAACAATAATATTAAGATCAAGGTTTAATTTTCATAATTGAAAATTTCATATGACATTATATTTGTTACTAACTCTAATAGATCAACTTTTATTATCACTTAATTTTACAATAATTATTAAATTTAATTTATTAAATTGTTTTGTACTCTTGATAAACATATAAAAATAAATGCTTAATAAAATGTACTATTATTTTTGTTTTTAATGTACAGTATATTACAATAATAAAATTATAAAAATAAAAATTATACAATTTACTCAGATCAAATGGCAAAAGTAAATTTTTTATTTATCATTAAATTAATCATTTGTTTGCTCAGGGTATTTGGTATAACATTTGGTGGTATTCAGGTCAATTCAAAAGGTCATCTATTTTTTAACAAGTACATTAGATATTATGGATATTTTATTAATATGCTCTTGGTAATTCACAACATATTCTATATTATTGGATTAACTAAGGATTTTTGGATAATTACTACCTATGTATCAGCACCGGGATCATTGAAAGATATTTTACCTGCCTTATTTCTATCTCTTATTCTTATTAATTGTATTAACACATGGTGTATGATATTAGCAATCATTAAGCATGGTCAGAAAACCTTAAAAATCTTAATTAAGCTTTTCTTAAAATACGAAGATTTATCATGTTACAAATTCTTTATTATTGTACTGGTGGTATTGGCAATTGAGTTTGTAATTAGTGTGTCTATGACATTTGAAATGATTATCAATCGGATAAATAAAGTAGATAGAATCTTATTGCCTATTCAGTTGACAGTAACGTTTGTTAACATATGGGCAATTGACTGGCTCATTTGTTGGGCATGTTACCAATTTGGTGTAATTTTGGATAAAGTTGCAAAATCAATAAAATCAGGTCTAAAATTATGTATATATATTATATTTAAATGTATATTTAATTTGATTTTTAAATGATTATAATTGGTAATTTTATAAAATTGTATGATTTCATAGGTTTCATAACTGATAATAAGAATATGATATTAAATCTTCGCAAAGTAAATCAAAAATTGGATTCATATTACTCAAATGTTTTAGCAATTAAAATCGTAAATACAGTATTTTTGCTTATGTTTGGCGTGTACACCCTGGTCAATATTAATAATTTCACAAAAAATCCATTGTTATATAAATTTTTAATTTTAATTACGATTTCAAATATAATTCGTTTGATTGGTTTGTGTTATACCAGCGAATCAGTTAACAGCAAAGTAATGAATGTTAGGATAGTTTTGGATGAGATTAATACTCGGGATATGACGGACAGGGAGTTTAGGGAATGGCTTACGTTTGCGACTGTAATGCGAAATACGCGTACATTTGGGTTCACTATCGGAGGGTTCGCTGCACTCAATAAATCCACACTTATCAAGGTGAATACAGTCTTGCTATTTTTTATAATAAGTTATTATTAAAACTAATTTATTTATTTTCAGATATTCATATTTGTATTGAATTATACTATTATACTGTTTCAGACTTCAAAATAATTACTTTGAAAACTTTATTTAATTATTTTATTTAATTATGTTTATTGTCGACGCAACATAAGTTAAAACATTTTGAACATTAGTTCACATGCAATTCCGCTTGAGGGCTGTATAAGACATCCACACATTTTCACAAAATTTTTCCAAACATTTCTTTCACATTATGTATGATGTAATTGTATTGGTTATACACATAAACATCAGGTTTAATAAGTTTTAATAAAGTTTCAAACTATTTTAATACACAAAACAAATTATTAATTTTAATATTTATTTAATATCTGATAATGTATTTAATATAATAAGTGGGTCTTAAGATTAAAACTTTAATAACATTGATGTAAGACTTAAAATCGTAATTAAGATCTGAAATACAGTACTGTTTTGGTTGTATTGACGAGAAATGTACAATCATTTCGGTAAAAACCTGAATCTGTTTTAAACCTTATAAAATATAACAAAAACACAATTAAGTTCTGATAATTATAATAAGTATTGGCATAATTGTAATCAAATAAACACATCTATTTTTTAAAAAATGAAAAACAATTGCATAAATTTATCACAAATTAAATTATTTCGCATTTCAAACAAATTTTAATCAATTAATATCTGATCCTGTTATGAAATAGTATTAATTTGAGGCTGATTTAACACACCGTCTTTTATAAGCCATTTGTTTTCAATGCTAATCTCATGTCTGACAAAAGTAGCACATAAATCACTATTATTAATAGAATTAAAAACATTTATAATTAATTGATGAAATTGTTCCGGAGTATTGTTGATATTTCGATGCTTGACTTTACGTTTCAATTCACCGAAAATAAATTCAATCGGATTTAACTAAATAAAATAAAAAAATTAAATCAATTAGAAGTGAATCGTTTAACAAAACCTTAAACCCATCTCTCATGCGAAGTCTAAACACTAATTAATTAAAAATAGTTATAATAATTTACAATTAATCAAAACATTGGCAAATACTGTAAACCAAGTCACGGATTATATTAATCAAGTTTAATGCTAAAAGAATTAATGAAATAATTATGAATTATTGCCATTAAGTGTTAATATAATTTATAAGTAAAAATATAAATTATTGGTAACTTAGACTAAATAAGATACGAATGATTAAATGGTAAATTTAAAGACTAGTATTCTTATGAGTGAGGTCACATCTAAGATTAATACATACTTCACACATATATGGAGGTAATCTCAGAGGAATGTGACCAGCTCTTGTAATCATCTGATCCACTTTAAAATTAATGTCAATATGTGATTTTAATATCAACATTAATTCTGGTCGTTTGGCTTTAAGAGGAAATATGATATTCTTTTTGTTGAGCCAATCGATAATCTCTTGTTTCCTCCATCTACTGATTGGTTTGCTATAAAAATGGACCAAAGATATGTTTTTTAGTACAAGTGCTTAGGATTATAGTTATAATTATTGGTTTTGTATCAACAGACATTGAACTGTAAGGAAGGGTACGCAAGGGAACTGGAGGGCGTGTGAGTGGGACAGGAGTTTGTGGCGAAATACATGGTATTGTGTGAACCCGATTGGAATGTTTATGACTTCCAGCACGAGAAGGAAATCATGAAATAACTTACTCGATATCCCGACACCCGTGGGTTGGGGCGTTATCGTAAACTATTACCGTCTTTTCCGTAAGATTAGGCAATAGATCGTCACGAAGCCATTCTTCAAATTTATTGCCATTAATCTCTTCATCGATCAAAATCTTCAGAGCATTGGATATAAAGCCTTCAGTACTCATTGCTTGAATTATTGAGAATCGTTTTCCTTTAGCTATAATATAAGAAATGATATAATAATTGGTTTTAAACATTTGGGAAATTGTCACAAAAGGATTAGTTGTCTATTAAAAAGGTCTTGAAATGAGTGGTTATTATGCCATACAAATGGTTCACACCATTCACTACAACGGGAATCAAATATATTACGACTGAAACCCAGACCACAGATACCGCTATTACGGCATAA